TTGGCTTTTTTAATTTTTTATTTTAAATTATTTCTTACAGCGAAAATGTACTGGCAAAATTTACAACAATGATCCGACAGAAATACAAATGATTATGAACGTACAAATGGCATTGGATGCACTCAAAGAAGATGGTGTTAAGATGGTTAACATTGGTGAGCAATGTTGTTGACAAACGCTTCTCAAAGTGTCAACTGTCTAAATTGAACTGCAGCTACAGCTTTGTTCAGACTTCTCAAAATGACAACAAAAAATTAAGGATAACAAAGACAGCATAATTTAAAAGAAAAAAAAAAAGAGAAGGGGAGGAGGAAGAGGGAAAAAGTTATTATAATCTATTGTTTTTTCTTAAAAACACTTTTGTTTTGCTCACTTTTATTTAACATATAAATACAACAGTTTCTGTCTTCTTTTATATAATTTTCAAAATTAATTGGAAATATTTTTTTTGAACAACAGCGACAGCGAGAAGCTTGTTTAAGGTGCTCATGATATAGTAGAAGGTAATTTGAAGCTAATCTTGGGCTTGATATGGTGCTTAATTCAACGGTATCAAATTGATTCGAATGCAAAGATACCAGCTAAAAAATTGATGATGGCTTGGCTACAAGTACGAAATTATTGACTTTTTAATGCAAAAAAAAGTTTATTTCAACAATAATTTTTCCATCTTTCTTTTCCTTCTCGTTTATTATTTCAAATTTCTAACAAAAACAAAATAAGGTTAAAAAACATTTTTTCTAACTTTTTTTAAAATTTTTTTGAAGAGTGTTTTACCGGAACTGAAATTAACAAATTTTCGAACCAACTGGAATGATGGACGTGCACTGGGAGCACTGGTGAATTACTGTCGACCAGGATTATGTCCAGACTGGGAGAATATGGACTCAACAAATGCGTCAGTATTATTTCAGTGTTTTTCATCAGTATCATAAGTTTTCAGTTTAGTCAACTGTTTTTTTTTATAGCACTTTTATACAACCAGAGGAAAAAAAAAAACAAGCATTATACAATTAAATATTCAAAAATGCTTAATCTAAATTTTTTCTTTACTACTACCTGAGGATTTCATGTGTAAACTTTACTGACCAAAAGTGGAAATGTCGATAACACAAAAGTTTAAGAGAAAAAAAAAATTTGGAAAAAAAAAGAGGAAGGTAAAGCCTGAAAAATTATATCGTTAAGCATATTTGTCGACGCGTCTATCTGCGATATTTGCTATAGCAAAAAAA